TATTTAGTCATGTTATCATTAACTTTAATTCGTTGGATGAATTGATATCGCCTTATATTAGCTAAGAAATATATTTAATGAAGCGGTCGAGAATGCTCCATCAATCATTTTTATCGATGAAATTGACGCATTATGCCCAAAACGTGATGAGGTAACAAACTTTAGATATTTTTGTAACTAATATCTTTTTACTAATTAATTTTTTACCCAGACTGGCAATGAACTAGGAAAGCGCATTGTAGCAACTCTTTTGACATTGATGGATGGTATTTCCAATCAAGGAAGTGTCGGTTTGCAAGACAAAATAGTTGTCATTGGTGCAACAAATCGCCCAAATGCATTAGACGAAGTGTTGAGAAGACCTGGAAGGTTCGATCATGAAATAGAAATTGGTATGTGATTGTTTGACTAAAACGAAAATATATATATTTGAAAATGTTTGTCAAGCTATAATTCATACATTATAAACGTTCAAGGAATTCCAAATGCTACATCCCGATTTTCCATATTGTTGACACTATTACAAAAGATACCACATACCTTATCACCTGAAGACATTAATGGACTAGCAATCAGATTGCATGGATATGTTGGTGCTGACCTCGCAGCTGTTTGTCGAGAGGCAGGACTGAAAGCAATCAAACGGTGTGTTAAACATTGCCAAAAAAGTGAGTGCTGTTGTGTTGATATATTACGGTGAATCAATTATTGCGGTTTGCAAAATTTTGTAAATTTTGCAGATCAAAAAAAATAATCGATTATGATTTTTAAACTTTAGATTAATATTATGTAAATTTTTATAAAGGACATAATAAACTCTAATTTTAATTTGTTAATAATATTAACAAGTTAAAATTAAAGTTTATTACGCCTTTTATAAAAATTTACATAATATTAAAGTTTAATCTAAAGTTTAAAAAAAATATATGAAAAAAATTAGAAGTCGGAAATCACTAATCGTTAATCATAATAGATTTTTTTTTTTTTTTTTTGATTTGCAAAATTTACAAAATTTTGCAAACCGATTAGTTGGAAAAAATCGAATAATCGATTAGTTGGATAAAATAATCTATCAACTAATCGATTGAAAAATTTTTGTCGATTTGTATCACTAGGCTGATGCTGAAATTAAGGATCTCATTTAAATATATAAAACATACCGTAAATTCTCGAAATAACGCCCAGGGGTGAAATTACGAATTTTGGCCTAAATTAACTAAATTAAGCTTAATTCGATCCAGACTCAAAATAACCCCATTCCCGCTATTTGAGAACTTACGGTACTAAAATCTACTTAAACTCCTTCATTACAATTCTAACCAAACCTTTAAAAAACTAAAAAATGTGCCACCAAATAAGTCCAGATTTCAATATCAATCATTTTAACATTAGTTACCACAGTTAATATGTTTCTATTGTTTCATATTCTTTCAATAGAAGATATCAAAATCACCGTACAAGATATGGAAGCCGCCATTAATAAAATTCGGCCCAGTGCTATGAGAGAGGTAGGGAATAGAATGTATTAATTTGTATTCAATTAGGGTGAGTGGCACGGCTAAAAAAATCTTGCGTGCCATATGGCATGTCAATTGCTTAAGTTCGTGCCAGAATGCCACCCCGGCATGCCGTTAAACCACATGATAGATATACTCAATTTGGATGCGTCAGTTATCATCTACTATAAAATAACCTTCGGAATACTTCGGTGCATTGCTCCAATTTTCGTTTCTAAATTTACATTATTTTATTTTCGATTCGGAACCTTTCGGAATATATGTAAATGGCATGCCTATTGGCAATCTGAGTATTGGGCATCTTATCATTCACCTTATTATATTCAATGAATAACGTTTATATTGATAAATTTTCAATTTGAAGATCCTCCTTGAAGTGCCTAAAGTTTATTGGTCGGATATTGGTGGTCAAAAAGATGTTATACAAAAATTAAAAGAATCAATTGAATGGCCTTTGCAACATCCTGAGGCATTTACCAGGCTTGGTATAAAACCACCGAAAGGGATTTTGTTATATGGACCTCCAGGCTGTAGTAAAACTTTAATGGCCAAAGCTCTGGCGACGGAGGCAGGTTTAAATTTTATTGCCATAAAAGGCCCTGAGGTATAATATAAAATGCTGTGAATCAATAATCGTGAGTATCGTAGTCGTGCGGCAAACAT